ACTCTCTCTATAACATGTAGCTCAATCCGTTCAATGAATATAAGGCTGAAAGTATGGTGCGTTTGCGGGTTTGGACATTGGGTAATGGATGAAGTCGAATCTGTTTTAAGTATAGGTTAATGGTCATAAAGTTGACAATAAGTCTTATGATCGTGGGACGAGGACCCAAGGTCGGAGTACTACGTCATTATTAGAAATATTAGAAGTAGAATAATTATTAATGTCAATATTGGACTCGTGGCCATTTGCCAGCACCACTATGTTGAATAATAGTACACCAAGATCAAAGGGTGACGTCACATCCTATATTAATGTACAGGCTTGCAACTCCACTATGTAAAAGTTAACTTTGGGGTAAGACGAAGTTTCATAAAACAAAATTAGATAAGAATATCATAAAATAATATTCCAAATTATTTCAAACGAACACAATCATGAGAACCAACAAGTAATTAAAAAAAACAAAAAATGTGGTTTATAAAATTGACACATTGGGATTAAAACTGACTTGATCAGAGAAAAAAGATGTTTTCAAGTCTCTAAAGGAAGAAGGAACGAGGCCCGAGGTCATTACATAGTATCTATTTTCATATCATCAATGTAATTAGCTAATTCTGATATTGATATAATTTGAGTTATGTCCTCTATTGATTAGTAATCATTCTTACAGTAAGATAATATTTCTACTCACTCCATTCAGCTGAAACACAAAATAAAGTTAGAATTAAAATGTTAGTTATTATTATTGTTAAATGATTTGATGAAAAATGGAAAGAAAGGACAGAGTTTGTCAACAAACAGATTTACAGTAACTAATCTCAAAACTAAAAATAGGGATTAGTACTGTACACTTCATACACAGAGTAAATGTTCCAGCGTTTCCTTGTATTATAATTCAGCTCGATTCAAGTCGAAGAGGAACATTCTCCAAATTTTCTTTTTATGAAACCAGAAAATGAATGCAGGACTGATGAACAGAAATAATTATTTCTTAAATCTGTAGAAATATATATGGTGATACGAATATTGTTATTATTGACTTTATATGCATTTTTCTAATTTCTAGAAACAACTTGGTGCTCACGATGGTTTCGATAATAGATGGTAATATGTTTAATAGGATATTCTTCTTGCAGATCTACTCTCCACCATTTTCTCGTATTTTTATCACCACCAGTATCAGTACATTTGTTAGGTATATTAGTAGTATTGTCACCATCTACAGCTAAATCAGAAGTTCTATTACCATTTGTTTCAACCTGACTTGATGGTTTATCAAGAGCTACATTCTCTATAAAATATTTACTTCATTAAGATAATGGTGATAGAACTAAATAAGCTGCTATTAATTACCTAGTGAATTACTTATCATTCATTAAATACCACTTCTCTAATACTACAATAAATAAACAAACTAAATGTGATATATTTATTTTTTGTAAATAAAGTATCTTAATTTTAAGCATTGCTGTCTTTTGACTAAAATTTGTCGTCAAAAACTCGCTCGGGTATGTTACTACCACTGCAATATGATATAATATCTTTGGGTATATGGTAATTTATATCGATGAAGTGTTTACATCTGGTAATATTTTAGCCATTCGTCAATATTTGCAGTGGTTATGGTTACTAAGTCTGGAACATTGGCAAATGAAAAATCAGTTGAAAAATCAGAAAAAATATCTGTGATCTTCTGGTGAAAAACACACTAAATAGCAATAGATGGGGTGAAATTTGTTCCAATCCTCTAAATGCTTCCTAAAATATTCTTACGTTTTTGACAAGTAGGTCCTGACCACCCTGCAGCACAACCTCCACCACACTCACCAGTTTCTTTATCACATTGTTCATCATTAATACAGTGACAGGTATAACTATTATCAACTCCAAATTTAACACCTGTACAATATACATGTAATAGACGTAATACTATGTCCTTTACGTTCTCTTACCATGTTGTATGAAGACCTTATGTTGGATATACATGGTTTTTGGGATAAAGAGGTCTTGGAACAACAAAATTTTATAAAATTGCAATTTTTAAGCCAATAATGAAGAGATGTTATGTTGTCAACTGGCACTTAATATAATAATGGGGATATATACGGTAAGATAGTGCGTTTTTGAAAATATTCATCGGCACGATTACGTCTCATGC